TATTTAATTTAATACAAGCTGTCTCTTTTCTTGCTGCGCGCTCTGGTTAAAACCAAACAGTTGTAGATGACGCCGTTTGCTTCTCATGAGTGTGACTCTAAATCTGTTGCTATGGTAACATTGTACATCCCCCCCCCCCAGTTTCTCTTCGTCTTTCTTCTGTATGGATCGAGAGAATTTTCTCTTGATTGGCCTAATCTGATCTGAAGCGGTTTGAATATTTTAAAAGGAAAGAGTCTTGTTTTTAGTGACGCTTCAGCCTCTTATGTTTAAAATTCATGCATGCATGAGACGGATGACTGAATGAGCCCAAATATCACCGTCAGCCTGAAAACAGAGAAGCTGGCAGATGATGTATTGCAGGACTGTTTGGCTGTAAACTGACAAACTGTAAACTGTTTGTATTTGACTACTAAACTAGAGGCAGATTTATGATCCAAAGATGGCAGTGTACAGCGTATTAACTGTGTCTACGTTTCTCCCACACATACACACAGAGACACACAAACACACACACATACTAACATCTTCTTAACCAGACTGAAAGAAGATGAGCTCAGGCTGCACGGCTATAACCGTGACGGAGTGATTTAAAGTCACATTACCACACACACCAGCTTTCCCAGTTCTCTTATCTCCTTTGCTTTCCCAGTGAAGTGTATCCACGACGTGTTAGTCAGAAGCCCCAACAGCCACCTATGGCGCCTATATTCCTCACTGACTGCTACTAATTATCAGGAAGGGATATAGGGTGAACATGATTGGATTTTACAGTTAATGAGCTTTCTTAAATGATCTTATTGGTACTCACTTAGAGAAGGGACAATGGTGTAAATACACAGTTTGTATAGAGTGTGCATACCCATAAAACAGAGCAACTATAGCTACATTAGTGAGCCTTTTTGTACCGATTCACTCCCCACGATGTCACACATAATAACTGGGGCTGCAGCTAATAGGAATTGATTGGTGAATTTATAATTTGACTTTAAAATATCAAGTGAACCACATGAAGTTTTATCAAAGTAACAGTCCAAGATACAAACATATTCATTCTAACACATATAGACAATAAGAGACAGAAATGTGCGCCAGATACAGCAATGAGCAAACTGTAATGTTTTTGGTTCATCGGCTAATTATCCACGAGGACTGATTTTTTTTTCTGTGTTTTGATTGTTTCAGTTTTAATACTGTTTCATGTCTTACCTCATCACATTCCCATTTCCTCTTAAAATTGTAGTTTTAGTAAAAAAGGAACCACAGATATACCTGTTCAAACACACATTAGGGCAGATAAATAATCAGCCAATCACATGGCTTTGTTGATGCCAGAGGTTAAAGGAGAATTGCCGAAATGCTTTGAGCTGATAAAAAGACAGCTCTTACTCAAATAACCAGTTGTTACAGCTAAGGCATGCAGAAGTGCATCTCTGAACACAAAACATGCAGTAAAGTAAGTGGGCCGCAGCAGCAGAAGACCACACCCACCTCTAATAATGGGAATCTGAAACCGCTATTACACATGCGCAACAAAATTGGACAATAGAAGATTAGAAAAATGATGAAACTGTCAGAATCTGCTGTAAAACCATCCTAGCTGGAATCAACGGCTCAGGTTGCTCTGGTGGTATAATGAACAGTGTTTAAACAATACATCAAAAATTTAAGGCCAACACATCTGCAGCATCTGAGTAGTATCATGTCACTATGGCCCGAAATGTCCGAGGAATGTTTCCAGCACTTTCTTGAGTCTGGATCACAACAAATTATCAGTAGGGGTGCAACGATACTCGTATCGATATTGAACTGTTCGATACGGTGCTTTCGGTTCGGTATGCATATGTATCGAACAATACAAAATTGTTTATTTATTTTATCAACTTTTCTTCTGACGATGCTGTCTGTGTTGAGAGCTCAGTGGATCTGCGTTCGACTACTCCGCCTAGGCTGCACTGTCGAGCGCAGATCCACTGAGCGCAGCGCAAGCTAGCAAGACAGAAGCTAAGCTCGTTGCAACATGGCAAATTTAACAAATTAAAAAAGCATGAACATTTTTTTGTATCGAAAAAATATCGAACCGTGACACCAAAGTATCAAACCGAACCAAACCGTGAATTTTGTGTATCGTCGCACCCCTAATTATCAGAGTCGCTGCTAAAACTGATAAAGTGGCCAGAGAGGCAATATAGTAAGACATCCAACAAACAGAAACAGGCGTTTTGTTAAGAGAACATAAACACGTAAGCTGAGGAAAAATTTACAAATGCTGCTATACAGCTGTCGATGATCAATATATGGTGACCTCTGTGACCTCGACCTCAGGGTCGAGGTTAGAGGTCAAGTTTTCTGAAAATCTTGTGAACAAAATAAATCAAAGATTTCCCCTTTCCAATTTTCACATTTATGCCATAGATTCATCTAGCAGGAGGCTGTGCGGCAGCGCTGGTGACTGCCAGTATTTTCATTCATATGTTGTTTAAACTTAAAATACAAGCACAGGAAAGCTGGAAATCGTGTGCGCACACATAATTATACAAAACAAACAATATTTTTATGAACTGTAAACAAAAAAGGAAAATATATTATGCAATGTTATATATATATTAGAACAATGCAATGTAATATACAATATTGCAATGCTATTTAATTTGTGTTATTTCATTTTTTGTATAGTCTTTACTGTTATGTACTCAAATTCCTAATTATGCTGCATCAAGTTTGATGCTAGAAAGCGGTTCTTTATGCCGAGGAGCACTAAAGCACTTTATGAGGCTTTCTTTTGATGTGTGACTGATTTGGCCTCTGTATGTAAGTCTGTCTAACAACAGTAACCCAAACAAACCAGGTTGCAGTAGGTTGCAAGGCACTGAGCTAGGTCGATGGTTTCAGTTTGGTAAAAGCTTTTGTAAATGTGTGTTCATGCTGGTTTTGTTAAAAACAGGACTTCTTGGTAAATGTTAGAAAGGTACACTGAAAGAGATCTCAAAAAAAAAAAACAGTGGAATATACAACCACCACGGTAGGATGGTTTTACGACCCGCCCCCCCTTTCCCCCGCTGTGTCTGTCATATGTGCTCCACTTAGTTTTAACAGAATTGAAGTAGCAGGGCTCTTACGGTGACCTTTACTGGTGTGACTGGCAGTTGGAGTATAGAATAAAGAGCAGAGCTCCTATTTAACCTTTGCTACAGTACAAATGCTTAGGGCAAGATACCCTTTTGAAGCATTTCATTTAAGATAATGTTGTAATGCAAAGAGGCTCTCAACTCCACAGGAAGATTAGATGGCTTTGCCTTTGTAGGGTTTTCATTCTGCTTTTAATAGTTTAGTCAACCTTGTATTGCCTTAAAGGGGAGTTAGGGGAGAGAATGACTTTTCCTGACGTCACACATTTCAATTATTCATCATTTAGAGAGTTAATTTGGGAGAAGGAGAAAGCAATATGGATCTGGGCATGAATGGAGATATCAGAATATGGTGACACCATTTGTTGTGACTGGGGATAATAGAGAATAGGAGGAAAGTCGCAAAAAGGAGGCAGGTAGAATTAATGCTCCTTCCCAGTATTATGTGGTTTGCAACATTAGGTACTAGACCTGAAAGTGAATCACTCCCATTTAACGAGTCACTGATAGAGTGTTTCTCCTGTAGATACGATGAATCATGAATCAAAAGCTGAGAACGTGTTCTGAAGTGAAGCTTGAGTGGTGTACGCTCCAGCGATTCAGCGTTTTGAGAAAGAGCAGCAGTGAGAATGTGGATTTTTCATGCCTCTAGGAAAAAAGAGGAAGGGAAATGAAAGTGAGTTTCAAACAGGTTCAAGGAAATGTGCACTTGAGTCTTCTGTGCCTTTTTTTTTATTCCTTCCTCTGCTACCCTTCCCCCTTCCTCTGTTCTCGTTTTAAGAGAGTTGAAGCAAAGTATGGTGTTAAGCCACTTCTAGCCCTCTGTCCAAAGCTAATGCATTCCCCTTAAATATTTCAATGTGCTTGTCTTCTGTTCTGCAACACTGAGTACAAGCTCTCCCTCAGCTGGCACCCACAGAGGCGCACTGCCACCAATGAAATCCTGCCAGTTAGACTTCTCAGACTGCTAGAAACAAGCGCTGAAGATTTGCATTTAAAAAAAGGATAGAGATGAGGGAGGTAGGGAGGAACTCTAAGACTGGGATGTAGATTATAGATACAGGGTTTGTGTGTTGTGTGACCATGTTTGGGTTTTTTTTCTTTACTCCTGGGTGTAAATGCTGTGATTGTTTTTTACTTTCTGCACAGATGTAGAGCAGCATGCTAGCTGATGCAATAAGAAGCAAACTTGTGTTGTTTGTCAGATTCGGTGCTGCTTTCTAAAATCTGCTCTGACGGGCACTAATGTGACTCACACACAGAGACATTAAAGCCCTGCGAGCAATCCTTACAGGAAAAGAGCACCTGAAAATTCCTCTTCCCTCTTTATGAGCTGTTACATAAAACAATGACCCTTGTGCACTCTCCATCAAACTGCACAGCGGCACCTCTAGTGGCGGCAGCATGTGTAGTCTTTATGGTTCAATAACTTCGTTCCTTCATTATGGTCTATACCTGCCCTCCCTGTTCCTTCTTTTCCTCCCTGTCTTCGTTCCTGCCCTCCATCAATCTAGCCTTTATATTTCACAGCGGCAGCCATCATGCAGCTGGACCTTGAGGAAATTAAAATCTGTCTTGCTTTGTCGCACTCCCCTGTGGACCTGCAGATGTCAATAAAATCCTCTATTATGTTCTGGCACATGCACACACAGAATGACATACTGTACTCAAGATAAACAGCATGCACACTTGTGCACACAAATATTTAACTGCAGGCTATAGAGTTATTTGAGCTGTCATGTAAGCACACGGCCAAGCTCGGCGAGTGTATTCATTAACCTGGGGCTCCCTGAGTCGTTTGGGCTGTCAGCTGTTAATTGATCTAATGAAGACAAATACTGAGGTGTTCTTTGTTCTTGTTTACGTTTGTAGTTGCAGAACCAGTAACCGGAAAAGCCTCATCCTGACCAGTACCTCCCCCACCCTGCCACGACCGCACTCACCACTGCCCGGACACATAGGTCAGTATGCCCGATGTATATGTTTTACCACATTCCCAGTTTGATTCCAGCTGCCTTTCCTGAACATCATATCAGTCTGTCCCACCGCTTGTTTCTTAGCATCTCAATTATCTGCTATGAAAGCCAAAATAAATTGTCAAAAATGGGCATTGTTGAAAATTTGAAATAAAAAGAAAAAAAGAAAAATTATATGAGGTGCAAAGTTTGAAAATAAAACAAAATTTACATTCACTGTTTTTACACCAGCCAAAGGATTGTCATTATATTTTTTCTGTTGACTCTTTCTGCATTTGCATGCAGTCTGCAGTCTGCAGCTTGCTTGCATTGGCTGTGTATCCTGTCAGGTTGATCAGTAGAAAGCTGTAAAATATCCCCATGGCTGTCTCATTGCATCTGCATGCAGGAGCAGAAAAACATCCAAGAACCCGCTCATGCAAACATGGATCCATATGTTTATAAGCAGAGGGATTAGAAATGAGATGCACATTTCCTAAAGCTTTTGACACAGTTATTCTGAATATTCTAGGAAGTGAACAAAACCAACTGACTTTTAATGTAAAACAGCCACAAACAGAATGTATTTTAGTTTATTACCCTGCCCGGTAACCCAGAGCGTCTGTTTTTTTTTTTAAACTGTTTTTTCTCCATATGTATCTTATTAGGAAGCAGTCCGTTGGACAGCCCGCGCAACTTCTCACCAAGCGGACCTGCCCACTTCTCCTTTGCCTCTTCTCGAAGGTTGGCATCAGTTCTTTTGTGCAAAATATTGGAGCTTGACTGCTGTTAGGATTATTCTGAGACACACGCACACAAACACACAGTGAAATCCTTCAGGGAACACACCCACTCAGTCGCACACACACGTGTAAAATGGAGCTGCAGCTTTGTCCTGGGTCTGTGTGACTGAGGCGTGACAACAGGCCGACATGAATCAGGTGAAGTGCCTGGACTTTGCCCAAACGAGTCCCCCCTCATCACTCACTCAGGGGAAGTGTCAGACTCCGGGACAGCCGGAGGAGGCCTCAGGGAAGAGAGGGATGAAAGGAGTGAAAGTGTAATTGGATAGATTGAAAGGCAGTGAAGGTGGCAGAATTGCTCCGGTATAACAGCCAATTGTCCTGTTTGGAGGAACAAAAATAGAAACTGACATTTCGAATTTTGGCTGTTAAAAGTTGTAGAGAAAAACAGTTTTTGGTTCCCTTTGTGTCTAACATATGCTTTCCTGTTTTTCACTTTTGTTTTTCATTTCTTTTCTCAGGGCCGATGGTCGCAGATGGTCTTTGGCTTCTTTGCCTTCCTCAGGATATGGCACCAACACACCCAGCTCAACGGTAGGTTTCAGCAGAAGATCGAACTCTTTGATTATCATTCCTGCAGTTTAATGTGATCATTGCTGGAATTTTTTTGTCTGGTTAATGTATTTAATGCATTTCCTTTGCCGTAAAACATATGCAAGGCTGATTTCATCATATTTTCATTGTTTATTCTTTACATCCCGTCTGTTTTTCCTGACCTTGTTGGTGCGTTGCTACATTCCTTGCTACCTGAAAGGCAAATACAGATTAATGGAACAAAAAAAGGATATAGCATTTGTCCCATTTCATTTATGCTTAATCCGATTTGTCAGATTTGATCTTCAAAAACATCAGTGTTACTGACTCATTGTTGTAAAGCTTTTGTTGCTAGAAGGCTGACTCGCTAATTTACACTTTCCGTAAGGTGGAAATGAAATTGTTCCTACTTGCCGCAGCTTTTCAAATCTTACTCTGGCTGTGGGTAAAGATAAGGAGACTTATCGCATTTCAAAATTCTTCCATGCGTCTCATCCGTCGAGCCCAAGGTTGTTCATTCCGGCACCACTAAATCAGAGGGTGTTTTCTTTGGTGGAAAATAACCTACAGGCCTTGAGGGCTCAAGTCAGAATCACCACTATTAGCTATCAGAGGGCGATAAATGTCTAGTCATCATTTGATTGATTGACATATTTCTACTTGATTATTGCCTGTATGAAGATATTTACAATCACTGAGCACATGGGCATTCAGCCTGGACAGATGATCCATACTATATATAGACAAATCGATCGAGAGGTCGCTCCTGTTAATGATGCTGGGCAGGTGTCTTGCATTGCCATCTCAGCCACCATTTCTGTAAATGTGTATTTAAATGAGTGAATGAGAGGCAAATTGTAAAGAAATGTGCTGTGCAAAGGTTGAAAATCACTATGTAAGAGCAGTTTATTTGTCCTTCATTATCAACAAAGGCTTCCGCCACCATATGTGGCAGCTGGAGCTCAGATGATACAGCGAGTGGACCATTAGTTGCTGAGTAGTTGGTTAGTCCTTGAGTATTTAAGTACTTGAATGCTTAAGGACACTTATTCCTATACAAATATTAAAGAAGGAGAATAAATGAAAGCAGGTGTATGAGAGGTTACCAGCATAATTGACCATACAACAGATGTGGCTTCCTTGGCGACAACTTTCCTCCATCTGTTGTGTATCATTAACTGCACAGCCACTGCTGCTGACTAAATGGGTCCTTGTCAGACAAAACATGTGTCTATCAAACTATGCTGCACAGTGTAGGTGCAGTGAGCTTCATATAAACCTTCTGAAGTAAATTGTTGAGCGTCTGTGATCATCGTATTTTTTAGTAGACATTCCCCCCGCGCTCCCTTTCGAAAGTGCAAAACAGAGAAGTGTGACCAGATACTACGTACGTTCATTTATAGTTTTAGCAGAGAATCATGAAAAATGACAACAAGAAAATGTGAAATGTGTATTTTCTTTTGTTTTTTTCCTTTGGCTGATTTGCTGCCTAAGTCATGAAACTGCACCAGAACTTTACTTTCAATTTTTCTTCCATTGCTAAATAGAGGAGGTGCATTTTATAGCCTGTGCATGAATATGGATTTCACTCAAAGAATTCATTTGCATATATTTACATGCACAAAATCAGCTCTGGCGCTGCTGAATTCATATTCTAAAGTTGCATGTGCTACATTTGTTCCGTTTGGCTTTGAAACAATTACAGGCCACAGTCGCGGCTAAATGCCATGCATACACAAACACGCACAACTCCGCAGTCTTTGACTTTGTAATTCCTCTTGTCAGTCCCAGATGACTGTTAAGAAGCTTTTCAGTGGCAAGAACATGCATCATGTGTAAACCAGAACTAAAAATAAGTAATCAGTTGCTAAGATATGTTCGACCTGATTTATCTGAAACTGATGACTTGGCCTCTCTGGAAAAAGTGGAGCAGAGATAATTGAAATGTAACCAGTCTGTATTCATGCCTGTTCCAGTATGTATTTCTTCATCCATCATTTCTTCACAGAGACAGAGAGAGATGATAAAGAGGGACAACAGAGACAAATAAAAGAGAGTGTAGGTGGAAATGAAACTCGATTTGAAGCAAACAGAGAGCCAAAAACAATGTTCACTTTCTTCTTGAGTGCAAGATGTTTGCGGCATAAGAGACCCGGAGAATTGAACACTGCCAAGGCCCATTTGGTAAAGACTCCATTTGAGAAATGGACTTTAATGTGTTTGATGCTCAGGTGGATGCGTTGACTCATAATCCACTCCCTGTACATTTCTGTGCCATCCTGAACGCGATCGTTCCCTCAGCCTCTCTTCTGTCTTTCGCACATCATTTCTTTCATTGACTGCCTCCCGGCTTCTCCTCACAGCTGCACATGCAGAGACACGCACACACTGTAGATAACCCATTGATCTGTTTTTACTGAGATTGAAGGTGGTTGCTCTGTGTCTCCATAATCTTCTCCACCTCCATCACTCCCCCTACCCTGCCTTCCGTCCCATCAATCAGTTTTCAGTGCTCTCCTTGTTCTCCATTACTTGCTTGATTAGCTACAGCAGGGCCGCTGTATACTGAACAGAGCAGATCAGAGTACAAGGTGTATGTGTGTGTATACCTATAGGTAGAAATGACATAATATTTTAGAGAAAAGCTACAGAAACAGTTGGAAGTGTATACAGACAGTGGTAACGGTTTAAGCCTTACAGATGACACAAACAATAGATTCCTCATTTCTGCTTAGATCCTGCCTCACACAGCAAAACAGCAATTTTACACCAGGGCAGGTACAGGCTTGTCATATTACTCCCAATGCTCAGATTTATTATTATTTTTTTATATTTTTATTTCTACCTTTAACTTGTTTATAGTTGATAGTGCAGTCATGAGCTGAAAAAGCACTTTGGTCTTTTAAAAATAACATGTTGAATATTTCACTGAAAACCTTTGTAGTGGGAAGAAACTATGTTTTGCCATATGTCGGATTATACTTTACATTTCTGTCTTGGTTCTTTGTTAGAGATAGGAGTACATTGAAAGGAGTCAGTTGAATTTGTTTGGACATCTAGCTCTTAATCACCTCCGAGGTGAGGTGTTTCGGGCAGGTCCTCCAGGGAGGAAGACCCTGATGCACATGCGGGACAAACTAAAGAGTTTACATCTCTCCAGCTGGAGTTCTGGAGAAAACCACCCTTGTTTTTCTCCAGAAGAGCTGACGGAGGTGATCATTAAGAGGGGGCTTGGGCATCTTTGCTTAGACTGCTGCCCCCGCAACCCAGATGAGCTTTAGAAGATGGATGGATGGATGGATGGATGGATTAAAGAAAATAATTCCAATTTTTTTGTTCAAATGGTGAGACATTCTCATTTATAATTAAAAGTTTCATAGCTTATAAGTGCAGCAGTGTCAATACACAATCCAATGGTAAATGCATTCCGCTCATACAACCTGGTATTTTTGTACCATTATAAGTGCTGTGTGCATTTGGTTCTAAGCATACAACCTATATGTTGCTGAGACTATTTTGTAATTTATTATGTTCGTGCCCTAAACCAGTAGTGACTTTATAACACATTTTATCATGAATCTGAATCTTTAAGCCACACTTTTCAACTCTTTGGAAGGATCTGCTGCTATTCACTTTTTTGAGATTTTTAGTAAATGCAGTGAAAAAGAATCATTTTATATAGAGGCAATGCTTCCAGTAAATATTCCATTCTGGGACTGACTTTATATTCTCCTATAAAGCTGTTAAAGCCAAGCATTTTTTATGATCTTCAAAAATTTCCTCCTCAGGCTATTCTCAGCGGCAAATCTTTCTCACTCCATTTATAAGCCCGATGCACCTGAAATGAATCTGCATATTCTTCAAAATATATTTCAGGAAAAACATGCAGAGACTAATTTCGCTTTCTGTTTAGCCTCAAAGCCATTAAAGGTCAGAAGCATTAAGGTTGAATGACCAGTGGTTCAGCTGTGCCACCATAATAACAAAACTAAATGTTGGAGATATTTATCATATTTGTTTTTCTTTAGTAGTAAGTAAGCAGAAGTGAAGAAAGACTGACAAGTTGGAGAAATGCTCCAAATGAAGTAGCAAAACCAAATCATATAAACTTTTATTTATTCATGACATCCATCATGTTCAGTGGCATTTCCCCTCATTCTTCAATCTTGTTCTGTCTTTGGGGAACTTCTTAATTGATCATGTTGCACTCTCAGCATTGCAATTTCTATACTTTTCTTCAGCCTGCGCGAGAGTAAGACCTGAAAAGAGTTTCTAATGGATTTTTATAGCAGAAATCATTGTGTGGCCAAAGCCAACCATTATGTCCCATTGGGAGATGTGTTCATTAAGGCTCCCATTGATCCAGGCTGTTTTTTCCTTCGGTGCTGTAGAAAAGTCTTTTGTTTAAAACCAGGCAGCGCTGCCATTAATCGCCCAGAGGCATGAGATGCTTAACCAGCAGTCAACTTTTACTCGGGGTGATTTTTTGATTCCCTGCAGTCTTTTTGCTCTGTTTTTCAGTCTGCGTTACTCTGTTTTGCACTCCTACACCAACTCCTTCTGGATATTTTTCTTGTTTCGCCACCTCTCTCCTTGTTCTTTTAACTTGGTTTCTTCTTCGTTTCAGTTCTTTGTTACACCCACTCACATTATAGTACACCTTGTTCTTCTCTTCTCTTCTCCTCTCTTCTCTTGTCTTCTCTTCTCTTTGTTTTTGATGTTCTTTTTCATCACTGGATGTCTATTTTTAAACTATTGATCTTGCAGCTCTTACAGAGGCTTAAAAAAATCAAACGACGGACAGTTCACTTTTTAACCTTGTCTCCTTTTCATGTCTCTCATGTCTCTCCAGTCATCCAGCTCATCCCAGGAGCGTCTGCACCAGCTGCCCTTCCAGCCAACCATGGATGAGCTGCACTTCCTGTCCAAGCACTTTGGCAGCACAGAGAGCATCACAGACGACGACGGCGGGCGCCGCTCGCCGCACGTCCGTCCTCGCTCCCGAAGCCTCAGGTGAGAGCGTGACAGGTAATGGGCAAAAGACTGTTTAAGTAAAGGATCCCATCCCTCCTGTGTGACACTGGAGAATAAAGATGTCAACATCAAAGCTTTATTTGTAAATGTTTGAGTATTCTGTGTAAGACATAACAAAACTAGCCAAAATTCAACATGGCAAGCTGTTATCAAAGGACATTTAGCAGCCATTAAAGATGATAAAAGCGATTTTTATTCAGTTACTGTGCAGGACCAACTTCTTTCTGTTATTAAGAGGTGTGGAGTGCTCTCAGTCATTAATTCAGATGAGTCGCCTTTTGTGAATGTGCCAGTGCTTTATTTGGTGCAGCTCGCATTTACAAAGAGGGGACATTAGGTTTGTTAGGCCTTTTCATCAAACACATCATGCTCTGTTTTGAAGATGTGTCTACCTTAATAAACAGTACTTAAGTCCTTGCTGTACCGGCACCAATGCAACACTGTAAAATGTCCCTTTATCATGGTATAGCGATAGGTTTGCAGTAGTACGCAGGACACAGTCGACAGAGGTGGAAAGTAACAAAGTACAAATATGTTACTTGAGTTTTCAGGTACCTGCACTTTACATGACTAGTTATTCTTCTGACATGTTTCTTTACTTTTCATAACAGTATCTACTTTACTGTTACCACTCTAGGCTCTAGTTGTAACACATTTTAGGAGGATATTTTGCCTTTCACACATTAAACCCATTTGAACCTAAATAGAGGGAACATGAAAGACAATCCTGTTGATGGATCCAGCATCAGTGCTTATTGCTTTTGACTGGCGTAAAAGACGCAGAGATGAAATGCAGGGAAGAGAGCAAAGACGGACCTGTGACAGAAAAAAGTACCATTAGCAGCTTCATGACACACAACAAACAAAAACAAAGATATTGATCAGTTAGCTTTTCACAAAACTAGCGGATAGGAATACCCCTCGAAGAGTTACTTTGTACTTTTTTTGTCGTTAAGCTGCCGGGGCGGCGAGCCACGTGGACACCTACGTTTGTGAATGCGATAACTCAAGAAAGAGGCAACGTAGGAGCTTCAAACTGATACCATAGGTGTGTCTAATAGGAGGCTGAGGGGTAGCACTAGTTTTCACTTTGACCTAAAAGAAATTAAATTAATATTTCTACCTAAATCTTTCAGAATGCAAGTACTAGCTGTACTTCTACTTAAGTGAATAATCTGTCTACTGTTTCCACCAGTGCAACAAAAAATAACCAGTAATTATCTCTAAGATGTCAGCTGTCATGGGCAGTTTGCTAAGAACGTACATAAACAGTTTAAACTGGTCCCTAAGTATAATAAACAGTTTAGAATAATAAACTAACAGTTAAGGATAAATGGTTGAGGACGTTTTTATATTTTCCTCTGAAAAGCAGTGAAGTAGAAGTACAAGTGCCTCAAACTGTAGCACACCACTGATGTCTCTGTACTTAGGGTTAGGGTATTTTCCACCACTGTTATTATATCAGTAGCGAGTCCAGCCTCCAGTGTGTTGAGCATCTCCAGGGTGCAGCAGCTTCTTTAATAGCTGAAGCCTCTGGTGTACACTCCCTGCAACCACACCTATTATAGCCTCCCCTCTGGATGCAACATGTCCTAACTACATCCGACACATCACTACTCATCAGTATTCAGTTTTCATATTAAGCTCCTCAGCAGTTCCTGGCCTAGATAAAATCAGCTCGCAGACTTTCCTTATTGTGTATATGTTAAATTATAATGTGTTTTCCCATAAAGGACTTTTTATCAGTTCCTTTTTCTTTACAGATGTGTAGATCAGCTCAGTTCCTGAGAAATAAAATCAACAAAGTAGACTTTTGCTGCCATATGTTGGTTTAGCTTACATCTTGTGAAAGCATATGCTGAACTTTCATGTTTACATGCTTGTGACATCTTTGCCACGGTCAGGATGGAGGAGATGTAGGAAGGGACTGCGTCCATAATAGAAACGTGGCGTACCGAATTTCTGATCAGTTTATTAGTGTTATATACCAACAGGACAGACATGAGGGAGTGCGGTGAATATTTTCTCCGTTCAGGTGAAAAATACAGAATTGCTTCTCTTTGGGCTGCCTCCTCTCACTCTGTTCTGCTCAGTCGGTGCTGTATATTACACTCCTGCTCTCTGTTTGTCTGTTTTCAGCCCGGGGCGCTCACCATCCTGCTATGACAATGAAATAGTGATGATGAACCATGTCTACAAGGAGCGCTTCCCCAAGGTCAGGCTCGCACAACAAATACGCAAGTGTAAACTGTACCTCCACGCACACCTCAAAATACACACACACACGCGCGCGCACACATACACAATATGCATACTGGCAACAGACATCTCTCAGCTACATTTAAAATATTTGTTATATTTCTTTTATCCAAAGTGAGTCACTATTTGCAAGAATCTGTTGTTTTAAGTAAGCAGCTGATGATCTAAAAGTGCTGGAGGGGCTGAACATGTAAACAAAACAAGAAGTAAAACAAAAAAAGCAGCAAAGCAGCTCCCTGGAATTTCAGACAATGATAAAAGCTGCACTTATTTACTGTGATGATGTTAAAATAATTCAAAGGTAAAATGTTAAGTTCTATTTCCAGAGGGAACAAATAACTGAGTTAAGGTCCTGATGTTGCTTTAAACAGATTTTGAGTATAAATATATAGAAATTATAGGCAGGGAGATGAATGGACACTGCAAGCTTTCTCCCTGAGCACACTTTGGTGACATGATGAAGCTTGCCATCCCTCTTTTGCACTCCTGATGGACTGCAGAGACCAAAACATTGATGGCATATACACCAATTAAACTACTTGCTGCTACACCAACCAGCAGACCAGTGACTACTGACCAGGACCAGTTTGAGGTTCATGGCTGTGTTTAAAAATGCTTCAAAATGAATGACACACACCCTATTTTAAACCATTTCAAAACTAGAATTTAACATGTAATTATTTCAAAGTGTAATGCGCACTCTGTGCCCATTTCTACTCATTTTCAGTTAGTACTGGATTCCACTTTCAGGATTTTCTGCTGCCACAGATTTCCTAATGCACACTTCTCTTACAACAAGCAGGTATCTGTGTGCTTGGTACTTTAAACAATGCTCAAAAAAATGACAAAGGATGAACTGAAGCTCTGCCATCACGTAATGTCGCATACTGCTGTTTCTGATGTCATTTAAAAAAATAAAAAAATAAAATAAAATAAACAATGCTCACCACTCTTAATTTATTACATGGTTCATGGTAAGCTGTTAAAAGGTCATCCATGTCTAAAGTCCTTTAGCAGATCATAATTAAAAAGTCAATTAGATGTGTTTTAATGACTCTGAGACGTGTAAACATGACTCGGTGTCTCAGGGAGCCAACCATTTTGATGAACAGTGAAGTGTGTGCAAGGAAATCTTTCACATTGCAGGTGTCCTCAAACACCTGCCTACACACACACACACACACACACACACACACACACACACACACACACAAATCATAATCCTGCTCATTCACAGTGATGCATTGTGAAGCAGCACGAGTCGTCCCACTCACAAATCCCAAGTTGGTGAATGCAGGTTTAATATTGCTGTATTTTTTTTTTATGTTACTGTAGGAGTAGTTATCATTTGCATACTTGAAAAAGACTTGCAACAACTGTATAAAACTCAAGCACTGAGGAGAGGTTCCAGTTAATGAAACCTCTAGATCTCTCCCTGCTCTTCCCAAGAAACTATCTGTTTATATTTGGGCCAGTTAACCTGTCAGCTGAATAGAGCAGGGCGATATGACCAAAAATATTTATCATGATATACATTTGAAAATTTGCAATAACGATATAACTCACAATATAATTGACACTAGTAAAAATACTTTACAACTCCACAACTTGCAAGAAAAACCCAAAAACATCAATGTATTTTCACTTAAACAAGCAGCTGTTTTTTATGTGCATTAAAGTTATATAAAAATTTAGCAAAGTCGTACTAAAACATTTGACAGATTTTCGAGCGCCGTGTGCCACATAAAATCGTTTCGAGGTCAGTAAACACAACCAGAATTCATACATAAGGCACACGGGATTATAAGGTGCGCTGTCGATTTTCAGAAAAATGCCGTATTTTCCAAAAACACGGTAATAACGACAGCCCGCTAGCATGCTCTACCAAAAATAGTGCTTTGTTGTGTATCTGAGGGACGAAAGCTAAACCAGTTCCACACCACTGAAGTTGCAGCATTTTTACAAACCAATTCTGGTTCATCCGTTTTCATTCAACGATCCGCTTTCGCCCTTCTCGTTCTCAGTCGCCGCCATGATTTTTCCGCCATCTGCGTATGAAAACAAAGGCACTGCGCATGCGCGTTTTACTCATATTCTATCGCGATATTTCATTTTCATATCGTTGCCCAACATTATACTGGTATTACCGTGAACGGTATGATATGGCCCAGCCCTACAGCTGAATTAATTATAATGACAATTAAATGAGCTTAAGTGTCTTTACTTATTAGAAAATAATAGTAGCATCCTTCCAGATAATTGTTTGCTTCACCATATATGAGTACTGGTAATTTCTGAAAATAAAATAGGCAGAAAAGGCACATTAATTCTCTAAAGCAGCACTTTACTGTGGCATAAGTATAGCAAGCTGAAATACATACAGATTGGAAGCACAAAAATGCACTCAATATGAAGGTTGAAAAAGTGACAACAAATCAAGATAAGCCTTTATACACACAAGTTTGCAAAGTCTAATGTGGTTGTCGGTCTCCTCCTGAGGTTTGAGTTTCATGAATATGATGGAAATACTAAAAAGAATAACACAGTCAAAAGAGGTGCAATAGCAACCAAATGAACAAGGACCGAACACAGGGCGCGTCACGTTGTGTTACATCACTTCACACATCACTTTTGTTGAGGTGCCTTAGCTGAGCTGAGTTTCTGCAGCCCGAGAAAGAAACATCCTAAAAAATCTTTTTTTTTCTGCAGGGAATGAACAGTGAAGTGCAAAAAAACATCAAGGTCCTTCCACAAAGGCTTGTTCAGAAAACAATGAGTGTCGTGTCTAAAGTAGCACATTTATATAGAATGTGTGGAGCTGGCTGAGCACCGTATATTGAGATAAAGACAGGTGATCGTATTATCTTACACTCACTTACTATTAACCACTGTTGTGTCTCTAATCAGGCCACAGCTCAGATGGAAGAGAGGTTGGCAGACTTCATCCAGAACTACTCCCCAGAGAGTGTTCTGCCACTGGCTGACGGGGTTCTCAGCTTCATCCACCACCAGATAACCGAGCTAGCCAGAGACTGCCTGACCAAATCACGCGAGGGCGTCATTACCAGCGTTTACTTCTGTGAACTGCAGGAGAATCTGGAGAAGATGCTGCACGACGTGAGTTGTGTAGCAGGAATCTGATGTGATGTGCTTCCAAACCTCGCTAACTGACCCTGTCTCTCCAAATTTCTGTCTTTCTTCATCAGGTCTACAAGCGCTCGGAGAGCTCGGAGCTCACCTTCGTCATCGAGCTTGTCAAAAAGCTCTTCATCATCATATCTCGTCCTGCCAGGCTGCTGGAGTGCTTGGTGAGTTCCGCCCTGCTTATCTGATTGTGGCTAAACTTTCAAACACATCGAGAATCCAGATTTTCTTTGTTTCTGGAGGCATTTTCTACCCCATTGAGCTGCTCGAAGATACTCCCGTCCTCCCACATGGAAACGGAGGGTCGAATATGCTGAACTGGCACTACAGAATCTAAAAGTAGGGCAGAGCGTCGACTGTTCGTTCATTCTGAACAGATGAAACATAAGTGTGTCACTGCAGGAAGCTATGCTACCACTCCAGTCAGGAAAGGTTCAAGTTTTGTTAAATCTTTTATGTTGCATCTGTTTTACCAGTATGTTATTAACAGAGAAAGACAAGACAGGATGTCTTCTTTATGTGTTTCACTTTTGCAACATCCATCTACACCAGTGTTGCTGGTGTAGAGACACCAGCAACACTGGTGTCTCTACACAGCATTAGGAGGCCAACATTTTGGCTACTAAGCCAGAGAAGATGTGTGTGGTAAGTTATTGCCAAATAGCAACAGACCTCAGACCATCCCCTGGGGTATCCCCTCTGTCTCAGATTTGAGAGAATTCAGAAGTAATTTGAGCCTTTAAATTCCCTGCATTTCCTGTGTTGAATCTTGCATATTTGAATCTCTAACCAACTCTGCTTGATTTGTTTTTATTCTGTCATAACTTCAGCGCACACATAACACATTTATCACCAGTTGGTAATGAGATACAGACCCAATCCAGTGGAACATGGAGATGAAATAAGCAAGATTATAAAAGACAAGAAAGGCAATGCACAACACCTCTTAATCGTTGAATTCAGGTAGTTCAACCGTTATTGCCACAAGTGTATAAAATCAAGCCTTCAGGAACAACAGCCACTCTGCCATGAAATGTCTGACTACATAAAGTTAAAGTGCTGAGGTCCATAGTGTGAAAAGTCACAAATGCTCTTCTGCTTAAATAACTGCAGAGGTCCAAACCTTGTCTGTCATTAACATCAGCATAAAATACCGTGTATCAGGAGCTTCATTTGCCATAAAACTGCCAAATCAAACATACGCAGCTACAAGCTGCGGTGACCCTTGTGATAAGGGAGCAGTCAAAGGTAGCTAGCTAACACGTTTTTAAAAGAAATACTGACATTGACCATCAGAGTACAAATAACTTCATCACGATGTGATTTAGTAGCATGTCATATTTTTTCCCCTGTTAATTACATGTAAAAATTTGAAATTTTAGACATACCAGTTGCCAGATTGCCATGAATTTGTGATATTTTTTTAAACCAAGCCAGAAGATGTATCATTATTTGTTTCACACCTGTCTTCTCTTGACATGCCTTTGCTTGCATTTGGAAGTAGCTGCTACAATCCATTCTCTTGCTTCCCGTAAACGTTGCTTTACCTACAGCATTCTTAACACATGGGAGTGTATGAATGTTGAAACACACTGTATTATACATGGAGGTCATGGTTTTGTTCAAGCTGTGTCATTCAGCACATCAGTCATCCTCTGTTGCTGCAAATTGCATGATTATTGCTTTAGGATATTTTTCACTCTCGTTCTTCCCACCTCCTCAACTTGTCCGTTTTCACAACAGCACATCAAATCCAGTACAAGACCGAGCTGTGTCCTTGACATGCTGATTCATTAATTCAACAAAACTTATTTAGTAATAACAAGCCTCTCTGCATCCACAGGACACACCTGAATATCAGCTCCCTGATTGATGGTGCGGTCCCTCCTCCCAACCCCTCCCGGCTCATCTTTCTGTTGCCAAGGCGACCGTCAGAAAAGGTCGATAGGGTCAGGCAGGATGTGGAGGGGACTTTAGATCTTCACGGCCCGTGGGTTAGAGAGGAGAAGGCACACACAGATGAAATGTTGTCCATGTCCGTAGAGTTAATTTAGCATTCAAGTCAGTCACAAGGTCTGATTTGGTGAAAATGTCACACAGTCAGAAGGCTGTTAGCTGCAAGAATATTATCCTCCAGCAGCGCAAACTATCAGAGAGCCAGGTTAATTCCCCATCTCCGTACTCCTTTTTTTTCCCTCTAGTCGAAGGGAGCAGATATGAGAGAGAGCATGGAAAGAAATGATCCTGGCTGCCCCAGGCTTTCTAATCAAAACGTTACTCCACCAACAGCAATGAGACCGAATCCCATAAGACACCACAAAAGGCTGTATCATAGGAAAAAATGAACATTTTCAGAGAAAGCAATTTAAAGTTTGGAAGTGTATTAACACTGATTGTGTTTGTTTGACAGCCCTGTAACAGTGTTCGGTCATGAATTTGCTGCAGGTTGAACTAAAATCTAGTTTTATGATTATAAGTTGGATGTACTCTTAGAATTACTTACTGTTTATGTCACATGGCACAACATAACATCGTTTTCTTTATGCTCGACTAGTGTTAGCTGTTATCACATCCTTTTGTGACTCCACACTAGAGCGTTGTGGTTCAGTAGCCGGCTGTTGAACTGGAAAAACGTAACTCACTTTGTTATTGTGTTTTATCAACACACTACAGTTTGGATATTTTAAAGTATATAAAGAAGGATATTGGTTCGTGATTTTAATTGAAATAGAAACTATAGAAGTAGAAATAATACGAGGTAATAATTTAACTTATAGCTTTCACAGTGTAAATATTTGTTGGGTTTATCAGTTGAATCTGAATTAAATGTAGATTTTTGAGTGTTTAGTCTGGTGATTCTCAAAATTATGTGACCTTTCATGAAATATATAATCACTGGCCAGTTTTTAAGGTACACCTTGCTAGTGCCACATTGGGTGTCCTTTTGCCTTCAGGACTGCTTTAATTTTTCACATCACAGATTCAACAAATTGCTGGAAATATTTCAGATTTTGATGATTGCAAACATAATTCAAATTTTTCCACATGTTCAGAGAGGCTGTGATGATTTCAATTGTCTTGTGTTGCACACGTCACCACTTCAGCAGTGGTCTTTGTATGTGAGATCATGTTAATTTAAGATGCATGTACAGTACGAGTGTTTTGTAGCTTTTCTTGACCCCTCCTTGTTTGTTGTTGGAATTATAGGAGTTCAACCCAGAAGAGTTTTATCACTTACTCGAAGCAGCAGAGGACCACGCCAAGGAGGGACAACTGATGAAGGCAGACATCCCTCGATATATTATCAGTCAGTTGGGACTGACCAGGGACCCACTGGAGGGTAAGAAATGGGAATAATAGGTTTCAGGTTTTATTCCAGAGGTGTATATATAATAGAAAATATGAAAACAAATGGAAGTGTAAAGTTTTTAATTTGCAAGAATGCTTTCCAACAGATGTTTGCTGGTTTCAGTTGTTTACTTTCACTCCCAGAGCTGGATAAGTAGATCAATACCACTTGTGTCTGAGTCCGGATTTGATTAACCTACTTCTCTATAAAAGCCGAATGCTGCTGGAAAGAGCTAGCCTGGTACTGTTCAAGGGGGGAAACTGAGCCACCAATACAACTGACTGTACAGATTAGCATGCTATGCCTGTTAATTTAGCAAGTTAGCATAAATAATGTAAGATTTTGGTGGGAGTTTTGTGCTATAACTCTCCAGTTCAGTGACTTCACATAATCTTAGTATTAAACTGATACAGTAGGAAATAGTGACACACTTTAACAGCTTGATGTTTTTGCTTTAGTATGTTAGTAAGATTTGGCAGCAGTAGTCGTTGCAAAAGTGCATTTCATTTAGCTAACGTGGCTTCTCACTTGTGTCTTTTCCTGTCATCCTATCTGCAAGCATGTGAGAGAAATCCACAGAAAAAAATTTTCATCTCTATTTTGGGTGGTGGCAGTATGAAGCTTTAAAAAGTGCCACTTTGAGATATTGATCAGCTTTTCTTTACGTCCATGATGAGGATATATTGAGATGAAGAGTCTGAGCTGCTTGGATCATTTGCTGTCTGGTGGTGCAGCTGCAGTTCTCTTTTTCATTCATCATCATGGCTCGAAATCAGCCCCCAAACTCACAGTTCACTATTCCCATCTGTTCAGCCACTCCCAGTCTAATCCATCAAGAGCTCGCATTAGCTGATGGGTTAAATGGCTCAGAATGACTCTTCACAATAAGCCACGGTGCTTTTATTTCAGAATTCATGAGAGATGTATCTGGTTATGTCTTTGTGAGTTAATCTCTTCTAACAATGTGCCTGCTGATATCTTGATCTTGCACTTTCTTTAGCACCTACATTGTCATGCATAGGCACACATGCGCACCCACATAGCTGCTTACACTTTCGCACTCACATTTCTTTTCTTGGTTTCTCACACAGAAACAGTGTCAAACAGACACTGACAGAATATACAGTTTCCAGCTCAGTGACTTTTATCTTATATAAAGTTTAGAACCACAAAGGGGCTTTCAAAAGGTAATTATCATTCAATTATTTCAACAAAACAGTTGTGTAATCAGTGTATTCAAGCAGCTGTCACATACAAAAAATGCAAGAACACTGGAAATTAGCAGCCACTCCTCTGCCACTGTTCATGAGGGGAGTAAGAACAAAGTGAAGAGGAGGGAAATCTGAAAGAGAGAAGAAAAATTAATAGAAAGAAGCTGTTTTAATTCTCATATTTTACTTTGTGGGATTTGGTCTGTAGCGGTTGAGAGCTGCAGTTTTTCTAACTGCTCACAGCGGTGTGGGGGGCCTAGTGTCGCTTTTTATTGTCACTTCAGGTTTGTCTGTTAACTAACACGTGTCCCAACAGAAATCGTGGGCTTTGACAGCTACGACAGTGAGGGTCCGCACACTCCAGAGACCGATGACTCAGCAGAGGTGACGAGGAAACACGCATGCACAGACACAGGAAACAAATTACCTGTTTTGTTTTGTTTTTAACTTTGAATTATAATTGTAAAACTCTGGGGATTTCATCAGGGAAAAGGGAGAGCCATCAAGCCACCAACTGAGGAAGACTTTCAGACCATAAAACTGATCAGCAATGGAGCCTATGGGTGAGTAATTGATTAATACGTCACTGATCACACATAGAAACCTAATCGTATCCAATTTTTTCCTTGAGCTTTAAAACTAATCCAGTGGTTAAACTTGGTAAAGCTCATGAATCTAAAAACATTTATATTCGAGCTACAATACAGATTTAATGTCTGTCTTTATGTCACACAAAGGGCAACAGCATGAAGAATTTGGATTATGAAAACATCCAAGAAAGCTATTTATGAAGAGATTTCTAACAAGCTCTAACACAAACGGCAGAAAGATTGTCAGACTGAACAGCAAAGATCTAGAATTGGACTTGAATGTGTATAAAAAATATTTGTTCAGTCTAAATTGGAACTGGTCAAATCCATCGGGAGCAGTGCAACAAATATTTGAAACAATCTTTCAAAAGTGGATGCTGGTGCTGAGTTTACACGTTTGTCCCTCTGGAGCCATTAATTTGAAAAATTCATTAATCATGGCCAAAATATGAAAACAGAAAGATTGCGTTAAGTTACAAAGAGCAGAAGGTGGGAACACTCACCATTGCTGTGTCATAAAAAAATCTAATTATCAGTTTTGACGTTTGAAGAGTGTAGATCGATTGGTTGTTTACATCACTCAACACAAGCAGAACTGCATTTCAAAATGAGAAGACACATCGTCCACATTCAGAAGCACGTCTCTGTATAGTGACAGTTCTAATGATTTAAACAGGCAAATGTTCAGCATTCAAACTACAGGCGAACATTAGTCAAAGCCAGATGTCTCCCCCGTTATGTCGACATCAGCGTGCACAGTCAAGTACACACCTACACAGCACGTCAACAGATCGTGGAAAAAAAGTAACAGGATCTAAAAAATGAATGAATGATTGCTGCTCGATATATCAGTACTTACGAAGGGTATGTTGTGACTTACCTTCAAAAGCCTACAAATACTGAGAAATATCAAATTTGAATCCTTTCTCTCCTTTGCTCTGGGGCGCGGGGGGAAAATATCGACAAGTCGATGAACATCATCTACAGATTTATTCGGTAAATGCCCAAGACGTCTGGTGGACCCGAAAGGTCAAATGCACAACTTAAGAAAATACAACAAAGAAAAAACCCGCAAAAGCACACAAAATAAAATAGAACATGATTAAAACACAACAGAACTAGAAAAATACAACTGAAGTATTTTTAGGGAGATAATAATGTGACGGACCAGCTGCGGATGTAACAAGCTAACACGACACGGCTAATAGCAAGCGTATCTACAGTGTTATATGAATCATGTGATTAAAACACACGTTATCTTGCATCTTTTTCTTCTTCTTCTCACAAAACTGATGAAGACTTTTAAGCGTGCCTCGGTGCAGTCCATATTTTAGTTTTTGTAACCGCTGCAGTTGGTCCTTCAGATAAATGCCTCATTTCTGTTGTGTTTTGTGTGCTTATACAGCGTTTTTTCTATGCAGTCTTTTTCAAGTTGGAGTGTATTTTGAGCTTTCAGGGCCACCGTACCTTTGACTATAAATAACTGAAATTTATAACTTCAAAGCTTCTCAAGAACGCATTTGTCTTAAGTAAAGCCGAGCAATTCACATTTGCTACATGTTACTTCAGTAGTCCGATGACAACTGCAGAGTGCTGTGCAGGTGGAGGCACTGCCTTTTCACCCACGTGATAGCGCTATGACACATACAACTCTGTTAGGACATTTAACATTCATCCGATGACATTTTTTTCCTGTGCAATTTAATGAACTTCATGTATTTGATGCATGAAGTCTCCTTTATCTTTGGCTCAGCTCTCTCATGCTGGCACATCCGTCATCTTTTTTTTTTCCCTATTTTTTTTTAGCAGGCTACCACAGAGAGACAGATAACCATTTACTGTCATGCCAACAGCCACTTCAGAATCACCAGCTAACCTAACCTTTTGCTTTCAAGGTACTCAAAGCACTTGTTACACTGCAAGCTGCATCCACAGACACTATTTTGTTCATGGACACATGAACAAAAATGTATGTGGGGTTCAGTTTCCTCCCAAATCCCTGACAGCAAGTTTTAAAAAAACAAAAATGTTTCAGATTTCTACAAGTTGACATCTAAATGGTTGAATATGCATGATTTAACAATAAGATCACTCAGAAAGCAAGACTAGTTTACTGTAGAAATTACATGTTCTTGCCTTTGTCAACAGCCATAGTGAAAGTGGCCAAGATCTTGTGTTTTCAAATTGCTAGTTTGCTTTATCAAACAAGTGATCATAAAACAGTTTATGTACCAGTTTTGGTACTTGTGTCCGCCTGTAAACGATTTCCCTATAATGTCATCTGCTGATATGTTGTTACTGCTGCAAAGCTGATAATGGTTTCTGTTCCCAAAAAAAAACAAAATCATAATGCCCTGGGTTCATAAATTGAAGGTTGGTAATCACTAGATTTTCTATTAGCATAATGATCCCAATCATGCATCCAAATGAATCAACATTTAATAGAAAATGTTACTGGGACACGGTAGCAGTCACTGAAGTCCTCAGGATCCTGGGATGTAAAGAAGACAGTGGCACTGTGAATACTAATATAAATACTAATGATAATACCGGAAATGTGAGCAGGAGCCAAAAATACCAACTAAAAGATGATGAAGCTTGGGAAAAACCCCTGAAAACTTGAGTTAGATCACAAAACAACAAAGGTACTTCTATTAGTATTACCAAAAATAGAATTTGGTGGTTGTAAATTTTTGTTTAGATAAAAATTATTAGCAAGGTTTTATGTATTTTTAGTGTTAAAATATTTTATATTGTCTTGTAATGCCATGAGGGATGAAATATAATTGGCACGGCACAGAAAAAAAAGAAAAAAGAAATAATAAATACAGACACTAAAAGCAGCGCTTAATCCTTCATTCTGTCACAGAGAATAATTAGAACGCACAGAGAGATTCAGATGGGATGTATTTTAAAATGCACATTTGACATGTTTTCAGGAATCGGGATTGTCAGGGTTCAATGATTTGAAAGGAAGTAAAATAATAATACATTTAAAATGCACTTCACAGCAAAGAGACGGCCAGTGGGGATGTAAACACACAAGTAACATATGGTCTTCTCTCCACCTTGACCGGGTCACATGCTGCTGCATGTTAAAGGCTGTCAAAAGCTGAGTAAGGTGGATCAGCGAAGAAAGAGTTGTACTTGGCAGGCCAGCATTATTCTACCATTATCTACCCACGAGAGAAACTGGGTTATTTTTCAGGTGTAGTTCAAAAACTCGGTTCAGGATCAAACATAAAATGAAGATTACGAGCTCGGGGGTTGACATTTTGTGCTGGAGGTTTTCAAGTCTTAATATCCTCCTTGATGTGTCCACACAGCCACACTTTATTGAGCTCGTGTCTGAAAGGAGATGAAATATCCTCTGCAGTTTGTACCACCTGCTGTTTTCCTCAATACCTCATTTCTTCTTCTTCTGTTCTCTTCTGTCTCCCCTGCGTTGCAGCGCCGTCTACCTGGTGCGACACAGGGAGACACGTCAGCGTTTCGCCATGAAGAAGATCAACAAGCAGAATCTGATCCTGAGGAACCAGATCCAGCAGGCGTTTGTGGAGAGGGACATACTCACATTTGCGGAGAACCCCTTCGTCGTCTCCATGTTCTGCTCCTTCGAAACGCGACGACACCTCTGCATGGTCATGGAGTACGTTGAAGGTAAGGGGGTCGGCGGTGGTTTTTCACTAGATCTGAGTTCAAATTGATAAGATTGCATGAAGCTACTCTAAACACGTGCCTTGATTTCTTTTTTGTTGTGTGTTGGTCAAGTTTGTGCCTTGTGTGTAAAGTAACACATTTCCTCCCTGACTCTTTTACATCTGTGAAATAACCTCCAGCACATCAGGATACGCTTTTCACGCCACCTTTCCTTTGGATGCTGTAGCCATGGCCTTTTCTGTTTTATCTACATTTTTTTATTTTAATTTTCATTCAATTCCTGGACTTATTTTTTAAAATTGTGAATAAAAATTGCCACCTGAGCCTCTGGCTTCTAAACCGAAGGTCAAGCATTCAGGAAACGTGCAGTGAAGTATAATGTCTCAGTTACAAAAAAGGGCAGGGGAGTTTTACTGGCTCACGGCTAAAGCTCGACTCAGTTTTCCTTCTATTTGTGCTGAATTCTATTATTTTGTCAAGATCGCTGTTGATTCACAGACACACTGAGCTGTCAACGGTAGGTACGAATTTATGACTCATGTGTGATGGCAGTGCCAAATATGGATGGCATAAAAATTAATTAAAAACCCAAAAAATAGAAACATAAAAAGCAAATCGTTTTACTAATTCAGAAAAGACTTCTAATGTTCTGGTGATAAAAACAATGAGTCACATTTAATGAATTAGTTCTCCCTAATCAGAGCATCAAAATATGTCTTTCTGGGGTTTGGCACCATTTGTTTGAAAGTTTTAACACGTCGAGCATAGATTTATGTTATAACTACAAAATCACATTAACAGTAACGTGTGTTGTTTATGTGATTGCAGGTGGGGACTGTGCCACTTTGCTGAAGAACATCGGGGCTCTGCCTGTTGAGCTTGCGAGGATGTACTTTGCTGAAACTGTATTAGCCCTGGAGTATCTGCACAACTATGGGATCGTCCACAGAGACCTCAAACCCGACAAGTGAGTGTTTAAAATTTATATTATCAATCAATATAATCACTTGTTTAATTACACCTGTTCAAATATATTATTAACCAATCATATGGCAGCAACCCAGTGCATTTTGGGTTGTAGACATAGTCAAGACTGATGGCCTGCACAGGGTGTACCTAGCCTTTTACCCTATGACAGCTCGAGCCCCGTGTGATCCTAAATCATAAAAGTGGATGGAGAGATGACTGAATGGATGATAATAATAGTAATAAAAAAGAATAATAATAATAGACAAGGACCGAAGCCTAAGATAATGCAAAAACAAAACATCCAAATTTTTCTTTAACAAACAGCCCTTGATAAAACTTTAAAAGTCAAAAGCCTGGATCGCTGATCGGGTGCATTCATTAATCGAATTGGCAGCTTACACGTCTGGAAAGGCACCATCAGTGCTGAAAGGTATACACAGATGTTAGAGCGGCACAACCTCCCATCCAAAGGTCTTTTTCTGGAACAGCCTTGTATATTTCAACAAGACAATCAAAACTGCAAACTGCATCGAGTGCAACAGCCTATTAAACAAGTCCAGCTGCTGAACTGGTCGGTGTCCAGTGTCCTCTGTCCTTTCACTAACTGGAAACTTAAAAATAATAATGAAACCAAAAATACAACAAAGAAGACCCCAGACTGAATCCTATATGGGAACAGAAGATTTTCCTCTCCCAGAAGTTCAACAACGAATCTCCTCAGTTGCCCGACACGGCCGTGGCCATGGTATTGTAATGCCTTATGTAATTTGTGTAATACACTGGGGTATTTATAATCAGAGGTATTTATATCTATTAGAACTATTTTGTCATGTTTTGTATCTTTGTAATATATTGCATCATTTAATTTACTTTAATTGGTTCGGTACTTACTGTGTCGGAGCTTCTCTGACTGCATATTTTCACATAATCAGAGCTTAATAAAGTATTCTGATCATGGCCCAGTCCCAACTTTTTTTTTTTTCAACATGTTTAATGTATTTAATTTCCTCAGTTTAAGTATTTGATGTGTTTAATGTTTTCTATTGCAGATAAAATATGGGTTTACAAGATTTGCAAATCGCTGCATTCTGTTTTATTCAGATTTTACACAGCTCCTCAATTGCTGAGGGATTGGTTTGGATTGCTTTATGGCTTATAGGTGTATAAAAACTTCTGTTTTTGGTTTTGTTTGGGGGGGCTTTTCATGTCATTTGCCAGAATGAATGCCTGTTTTCTCTCTCCTTGTAGTCTCCTGATTACCTCCATGGGCCACATTAAGCTGACTGACTTTGGCTTGTCGAAGATGGGCCTAATGAGCCTCACCACCAACCTGTATGAGGGACACATTGAGAAAGATGCCAGGGAGTTTCTGGACAAGCAGGTACGGTACCCACGACCTCACACCGGTCACATTAAACATGTTAAAACACGAAGTACAGCATATCAATGTAACATGGTAATAATTAATTTCACTTTTTAATTAGTAACTTTATGAATGAGGTGCATGTCCACTTAGAGGCTAATTAGCTGAATCCCATTTTAAAAAATCCTTTTTTCAACCACGCATACAAACCTGCCAAGTCATCTGGCAAAATCAATATTATCCGAACAAAGATGCTGCATTATAATGCTTCCTGTTTAGTCTGAATAAGTGAATCATTAATGCCCTCCATCTCCATAACAATCCTGTTTTGCAATTACAGTAATTGTTTATACTCTGAATTAAACCAGTCATGAGCAGTCAGATTGGGCCGCGTGTCCTTTTCATCTTCTCAGTGGAAGCAAGCATCTGTGTTTCTGCCAGTAATCAGCTCACATCTGCAGAAACAGACTGCAGCTTTGTGGTGGAGATTATGGCGGAGAGAGAATTTCTCAGTCAGTCAGAACTTTTACTATTGGGCTGTCCTGATGTGTCTGATTTAATTTGTCCACAATTCTTGTTTTGGATAGTTCCCCCTAGGTGTCACTCAGTGTCGATGTACTGTTTGTTTATCCAGAACACTTCCATTACATCCAGTCAGGGGCGTAATTTCCAGGGGGGTTAGGGGGGTTATGACCCCCCCCCAATAAAATTATTAATTATCTTGCATAGATAGGCTGTTGACTTTCTTTACTAATTTCAGTTATTACCAGCAAAATAGTTGCATGTTTAATCATCTAGGAATTTATCCAGATTTATTTATTTATTTAGACAGAGATCTTGACCCCCCCAATGTTCAGCACAAAGTTACACCGATGTCCACAGTAGCAGCTTATTTTTATTAAGGATGATTAACTTGTCTTTCTTCCTCTTTCTCTCATTTTCTTTTTTCTTCCATTCCTCCAAATTGTCTCAATCATTGCTCACAGGTTTGCGGTACTCCAGAGTACATCGCTCCAGAAGTGATTCTCCGCCAAGGCTACGGGAAGCCGGTGGATTGGTGGGCCATGGGGATCATCCTCTATGAGTTCTTAGTGGGTTGTGTGCCTTTCTTTGGAGACACTCCTGAGGAGCTGTTTGGACAGGTCATCACAGGTGAGGAAACTGTGATAAACCTATGTTGCTAATATGTTTTAAACACCTTCTCAAACTGCAAAGATTATAAGTGGTTAATGATAAGTGTACTAAGACTTAAAGCCTTCTGTAAAGGTTAGAAACCAAAGATTTAAAATTCTGTTCCAGAAACTAAGTATGGTTTTTTTTCTTTATTATTATTCTGACCTTTTTCTCTCCGTTTCTTGTGTCTCTGGTAGATGACATAGTTTGGCCAGATGGTGATGAGGCCCTGCCTGCAGATGCCCAATCCCTCATCTCTGCCCTGTTACAGACCAACCCTCTGGTCAGGCTCGGTACAGGTACTGGTTTGCTCTTTCACTTGACATGTGCAGCTATTTGCAACAAGAATAAGAATGCAAAGTAAAATTAAAAGGAACAGGTGTAATATAAAACAAAAGTATTTTGGGTCTTGTTTCTTTTTGTGCCCACAGAATATGAAGCTAAAGCTAGCCACTGGCTAGCTTAGCTGAAAGACAGATAAAGCCACCTAAAACAAGCTGTGGCTTTAAGAGAGCATAATAATCCTTCACCTCTTGACACAGACAGGAAAGCTGTTTCTCCCCTGTCCACCTATAACTTTCTGGCACAAGCGTTTATATAATGCATAAAAAAGTATCATAAAAAATCTTATCATATCCACTTGGCATTCTGCAATATATTTTACATTTGTTCTTGAAAGACTATTCATCTCATTCATCTTTAATTTTGGATGAGGGTAACAATTAATGTTGTTTGCACCCCCACCACCAGGGGGCGCATTTGAGGTAAAGCAGCACTCCTTCTTCAGTGAGCTGGACTGGAACAGTTTGCTGAGACAGAAGGCAGAGTTCATCCCTCACCTGGAGTCAGAGGAGGACACAAGCTACTTTGATAGTACGTGTGTCTGGATTTATGTGAAATGACATTAATATTAGGTTCATGGGTTATTTAAGGATGTTCTGACACAACCCCAGCCGGAAAATCACATTTTATCTTCTCTGCCTCTCTCTCTCTCGTGTCTGCCAGCTCGCTCCGATCGTTATCACCACATCAATACGTACGACGAGGATGACACCAATGACGATGAGCCAGTGGAGATCAGACAGTTCTCATCCTGCTCTCCTCGCTTCAGCAAGGTCTGACTTTGCCTCTCACTTTTTTTAATCTCTGTCTCAGTCACTTTTACTTTTTTTTTCCTCACTCTGTCACATTTTGTCACACAGACATCGGACAGGATTAAATGAGTGAAGAGACAAGATTTTTAGATAAAAGTAGGTCATCCTGTACATAGCGTAGCATCTGGAGGTCGGACCAGGTCTCATGTCTGCTGCTAATAACTCTAATTGGACTCACTCCGCCATCATCACTGATGCTCTTTTCTCTTTCTATTTTAAGACAGTCAGGGTCTTCCACCTGCTATTTTTCTAATTCCTCACACTACATTTTTTGCTGTTCCTATCTACAGATGTGTTATGATCCAGACATCTTTTTAACTATATTTGTTTTCACATTCACACTTTCTGCTTGGCTCCTCCAATTCTGATCTATGACTCCCTCTTCTGTCACACTTTCTCTCTCTGATGGGATTTTCTCACCTCATGCTGTCTTTTCATATCTCTTTGTCTAACTCGCTCTGCCTTCCCTCCATTTGCTCCGTCCACCCCTGCTTGGAAACAGAAAGTGCCTCAATGAAATCCCAATTTCAGTTAAATTTAAAATAACGTTACAGTTAGCGTTGCAAGGCTGTTTGGCAGATTTTTACAGGTATTGCACGTGAACAGAGACATCTGCCAAGCACCCTGAAACGACAAGATCTGTGGCAAATACACTTATGAATTTAATTCATTTTAATGTACTGCTGTAGAAATATCATTATTAATAATGATAATTTAATCATAAACTACTTTAATTATTAGTTAAGTGGCTTAGATAAGCAAAAGTCTGCTGGTTTGACTTTCTTTGGTGTGAAGACTGGGTACTTCTCTCTTACTTGTGTAGCCCTAATGATAAATCTCTGACATTTGGACTGAGAGTGAGACAAACTTTGGTATTTTATTTGAAAGCTTTCTGACATTGTCCACACCAGACTATCAGCACGGGAACAAGGAACCTTACTCGGAGCATGCAGGAGGGAAAGCAGATTGTCAGATAAAGACTAAAAGGAAGACAGGAATGTTTATACACAAGGAAGTGATTACTGATTAGCAAGGTTTCCAAACTCAAAATAAGACAAAACCCAGACACTGTGACACCAAGCTATTAGATCATTATCCAAGAAATTCAAGAACAATTTAATTAGTATTGTAATGTCGTTCTGCAACCAACAAGGGCGTGAATGCAAAACTTAGACCAGCACACTTTTAAAGTAGGTTTGGTGACACTCATTAATCTTTCTTCTGCATGCTATAACAAAATATCATGTGTCACCTCATACATCAGTGTTGCTAGACCCCTTTTTTGGGACAAGTGCCCCAGTAAAATCTCAGGCTTCAATTTTAACAAGCACTTATATTTGGCAGGGGATTTGTCCAGAAGCCGAGGAGCATTTGCAGGTGTGTCCGGGCATGGAGGCTGCAGTGAGCAGCCAGTTATCCATGGATCAGCATTCTGGCTGAAACAAGAATCAAAATGAATGTGCATCAACACAGTTAGGTCACTTAAATAAGGGTCTTAGTTAGGGGAAGTTTAAATAGCATGCTGTATGGCACAAGGTGGTCTTTGGACACCTCTCTCCAAACTTCCTCCTTACATACTGAAAACAGTTTGAATGTAATTTTTAATTCATCACACTGATTTTCAGTCCTCAGCCTTTTCTTCCTGTTTCCCTTCTCTAAAAATGGGCTTGTTGACAGACACTTTTCCACTGAGACCATTTTTGATGAGGCTTCAGCAAACAGTAGGTTGGATAACTGAAGAGCCAGATGCATCTCTCAGGTCCTGTGTCAGATCTTTGCTGGATTTCTTTCCAGTCGCAAAAATGCTATTTTATGCCTATCAAACTCTGCTAGCGCTGTCATTTTTCATATTCAACTAAAGAAATTATCAATTTTTACGACATACTGCTAGTATCAAAGTGCCTGAAGGTACAGCGTAAAATTGATTCTTTGCTAAGTTAAGTTGCCTGTTATTTGTAGACACAACACTGGTTGTTCCCTTGAATTAGGTGTCTTTTAATGTTTGAGTGGTTTA